CGTCGCGGCCTCAAGAATGTACACGTGTTGCCAAACCCGCCTCGCTATCTTTTCTTTTTCTCACGTGGAACATTCTCAAACCAGTGCCTCACAAGTACTCTGTTTTAACTAAAGGTCATACAGTGCAGTCCCCCAACAGAACACATTTTCTTTTTGATCAACACTGCAAACTGAAAGGTGCGTGGAATTCCATACTGTTTATTGATTTATGATAATTTTAACTGGAAACTTGTGCTCCTCATTTACATGATGAGCTATCACACACTGCTTTCGCTCTTACCTATGTTTTGTCCTTGTTTCAATCCTCGTGTTACAGTGGGGTTGAATTGTGTACCTTAAGAAGTGGTTTTAAAGGTTCCCGCTCCCATGACGTGAACGGATGTGTGAGGGGTTATCAGGTGGTAGTGCCTCCGTGTGCTTGGGTCTTGGGGTTTTGGAAATAAGCCTAAAGAAGCCCTGTTGAGCCGGGCTCAGCCTGGAGTTGTCTGAGCTGTGACCTGAGCCCCGGGTCTCCCCCAGTCCATCCATCTCTTTAAAGACTTCCCGCCTTTTCTGTGTCTCTGAGGGTAGAACAGTTGTTGAGTGTTGTCACCTGGCTTCCTGGTCTCTGGGTTTTTAGAAGTTGAAACCTAGTGGCCAGCAGGGATGACTGGACAGGACTCCTGAATCTCTGTTTACAGAGTAGGAGATGCAGGTTTTCAGCCCAGAGGCCACACGGAGAAGGTGGTCCCGTTGCTGTGTGCCTTCCAGCAGCGGCCGGGGCAGGGCTGAGGCAGGAATGGGATCCGGGGTCCGTGCCTGTGCAGTTTGGTCTCCGGAATTGGGCACCACCTGGGAAAGGCAGGCCCTGCAGCTTGAAGCGCCCCCTCTGTGGGGAGCGGGGTTGCGGGGGAGGGTCGGCGCATCTGAATGACGGCGCTGCACCTGGGGCTTGGGGCTGGGGCGTGGCCCGGAAGCCACTGCTGGAGAGTCTGCCTTGGCCTTGGGCAGTGCGAGAGCCATACCCTTGTGGCTGTGCAGAGGCCACCCGCCCCCGGCGTCCCGCCCCCGCCGGTCTCCGGGGGAGCAGCTCTCTGCCCTCTCTGGGAGGAGCAGGGCAAACCCAGGCCACGCTGCAGGGGCTCTTGTTTGCATGGCTGGTCGAGGGGACGGAGTGGCATGGAGGTGGGTAGAGGAAAGCCAGTTTCCTGCTTAGTTTATTCGAATATGGAGCCAGGCCCCTTGACGCTTTGTTGAAATAGCTGCTCAAAAGTTCCAAAGCATTTGGGTGTCTGATGGCCTCTGTGAAGTTCAGCTGAAGGGTGTGAGCCTCGGGCCGCCCTGGGCAGGGGTGGTGGTGGGGTGGGGGGCGGGCTGTGTGCGTGCAGGCAGCCTCAGCCTGCAGGTGTCACAGGAAGATGCAGAGGCCGGGAGCAGAGCATTTCTGAAGGAGTTCATTTTTCTCTTCATTTGACTGTTCCCAATTTCCCTTCATTATTAAATTGTTATTTCAACTTATCTTTACTTCAAAGGAAAATGGAGAACCTCGTTTAAGAGTCTGACTCCTCTGTGTTACTCTATGTGGGGCTAATTTTTTTTTTTTTTTTTTTACGGTAGGCAGGCCTCTCACTGCTGCGGCCTCTCCCGTTGCGGAGCACAGGCTCCGGACGCGCAGGCTCAGCGGCCATGGCTCATGGGCCCAGCCGCTGCGCGGCATGTGGGATCTTCCCGGACCGGGGCATGAACCCGTGTCCCCTGCATCGGCAGGCAGACTCCCAACCACTGCGCCACCAGGGAAGCCTGTAGGGCTACTTTGTACCTCAGGGCAGGACTCTTGTTTCTAAATTGCTGCCACATGCTCCGGACTCTGCCAGTTGCTCTCCCGTTTCCAGGAAGGCTTCTGCTTGGAGGGTATTGCTGCCCCTCGGTTAGTGAGAGGCCCCGCAAAGTGTGCGGCCGTCTGTCTGACAGATGCTTCTCCACGGGCTCTTCCTGCTCTTTCAGGTCTGAGCAGACTTGGCCCAGCCTGGAAGGGGAGTGAGGAGGAGGGCGGTCGTCTTCATGCTCCCCCAGTCACCCTCTGGGCACCCGTCTGCCTGCCCCACACGGCACTGGCTGGTCCTGGGCCCATAGGGACTGGGGGCCTTGCAAAAGTAGACATGCGAGTTGCTTCATTGGTTTTAAATAAACTTCCCATTGATGTAATAATAGTTTGCATACTCCTTTGACTAACATAGAAAAATAGAAAACAACTTAAATCTCTTAACAGTGTTTCAGAAAAAAATATCTCTTGGCTTAAAAGGGTTTACTTGTTTTGCTTACTTATTTTCCTATTAGTATCTTTAACTCCCTGAGGTTGGAAAACATTAGGAAGCTCTGAAAAGAATGGGGCATTGGCATTCAAGGCTGGTTCAACCTCTCCCCCTCCTAGGTTTTAGTTTCTCAGGGTCTTCTACTGGTAAACATCTTTTCAATGTAAGTATTTTCTAATCCACAAAGTTGGCTTGTGTTCAGGGCAGAGTTAGGGTAGAAATCTCGGCACTGTGCCTAGCGGTTCTCACACCTTGAGGCCACGTCCTCGCAAAATGTCCAATAAAGGGCTTTTCTTCTGGTGGCCAGGGAAGGGCCTCCATGAGGTGGTCTGAAAGGGAGAGATCGTGGAATTACCTTGGGAGGAATGTTGATGCCAGAACCCCTGTGTGTGACGAGTGGGGCCATGGGCCCCCTCTCTGCAGGGGCTGCGCTGGGCTGTCAGGACGTACCACCGACAAGTGGAAGTCTTTGGGCTAACGTTCTAGCGATGGCAGACACTGAGAGACCCCAAACTGATAGCAGGGGTGGTGGTGCTGTGCAGCGAGGGTCGTGATGGGGTGGGGAGAGGGTTGGGGGCTTCTTGGAGGAAGTGACACCTTTCCTGAGACCTCTCTTTTGAGAACGAGCTAGGCTTGGGGAGACTGAGGGAAGAGCTTTGCAGGCCCAGGGTTAACTATCGCAGAGTTTCGGGGAGCAGGCGGGTTGCCGTGTTCAGGCGGCAGAGGAAAGTCCAGTGGGAGGTGAGGAGGCCCCAGGGGCCCTGTGGTGCAGGATCCGTGGGCCCTGGACTTGAGGCTCGGTTCCAGCAGGTTTCTGTGAGCGGTCCTTGGGTGCGACGTGACTGCAGGTGCTGATTTCAG